AAATTCTGTGCTGGTGAGTCAGCTTTATGTAAAACCTTCCATTCTAAGTTTAATCAGGCAAAATTTAGAACTAAAGGAGTAAGTGAAAGTGGAAATAGGTAACTCATATCTCAGAAACCAATGCCAGCCTTAGGCTAATACATCTATCATATATGCTCCCAGATGAGAGAAATGCAATTTCCTTTCATGCACGTGCAGAAATTTACACAAACAGAAATAAAAGCAAAAATAAAGTTTCAAGTTTCCTGAAACAACCATACAAGAGCCATAAACAAAATACAGAAAAATAATATTTAAAAAATCAGTGACAAAAACAATGCACACAGCACAGTAACCCAAATATCTCAAAAATTAAATGCAGAATTTTGAATAATCTGTAGGTAAAAGGAACTCAAATGAAAACTATAATTTAAAAAACCCCAAAACATAATGAAACACTCTATATTTCAGACCTGAGTATTTCAGCAAAGCATTGATAAAAGGGAGATGTACAGCCTCAACTGCATTTACTAGAACATTAGAAGGCCTGAAAATAAATTAATTAACATTTCATTGCAAGAAGAGAGAAAAAGAATAAGAAAATAAAATACTCTAAATAGAAGAAAATAATAATAAACAAAACGATGAAAAAAAAAAAGCACCATAGATTTCATTAAGAAAGACGTAACTTTTACAAGAATAATGAAAACTTTGTCTAGTGAAGAAACGTGTGAATAAACATCATGTAATGAAAACTGGGCAACTGATTGTTAAGTAATATATTACTTAAAATTAAATACCATATAACCCAGCAATCCCACTTCAGGGTATATATCCAAAAGAAACGAAATCAGTATCTTGAAGAGACTTCTGCACTCATGTTCATTGCAGCACTATTCACAATACCCAAGATATTGAAATAACCTAAACGTCCTCCAACACATGAATGGATAAAGTAAATGTTTTTTATATATACAATGAAATATTATCTGGCCATTAAAAAGGAAATGCTGCGCTGGCCTATGTGGCTTAGTTGGTTGGAGCATTGTGCTGTGCAACAAAAGGTTCTGGGTTCGATTCCCATTCAGGGCATATACCCGGGTTGTGGGTTTGATCCCCAGTCAGGGTGAGTATGAGAGGCAACCAATCAATGTTTCTCTCTCACACTGATGTTTCTCACATTGATATTTCTCTCTCTCCCTCTCCCTTCTTCTCTCTCTCTAAAATCAATTTAAAAGAATACATATCTTCAGATGAGGATTTTAAAAAAAGGAAATGCTGCCATACGTAACAATATGGATAAACCTGGAGGATCTTATGATAAAAGATATACGCCAGACACAGAAAGACAAATACTGTACGAATTCACTCGTATGTGGAATCTAGAAAGAAAAAAATCAAATTCATAGAGACAGACAGCAGAATGGGGATAGGTAATGGAGGAAATAGGGAAATTTTAGTCAGAGTCAAAAACTCAGTTATAAGATCAATGTGTTCTTGAGATCGAATGTACAGGATAGTGCTATACTTAAAAGTATTGCATTGTACACATAACATTTTCTAAGGTAGTAAATCTTAAGCATTTTCACCATGCACACACAAAAGTGGTAACTATATAAGGTGATGGATGTGTTTATTAACTTGATTGTGGAAGTGACTTCACTATATATACAGGATGGGGCAACAGTAGTTTACGGTTTTGAGTACACAAAACACAGTTTATTCTTGTATTATTTTTTATTAATTATTATATTATTTTCTATGTGAACAATTATAAACCTGTTTGCCCACCCTGTATGTATGTGTGTGTATATATATATACACATAGATACATATATTCATCACATTATAGACTTTAAACATATATAATTTTATTTGCCAATTATACCTCAATAAAGCTGGGCCCAGCCGGGGTGGCTCAGCAGTTGAGCATCGACCTAGGATCCAGGCGATCGGGGTTCCATTCCTGGTCAGGGCACATGCCCAGGTTGTGGGTTCGATCAATTACTCTCTCATCATTGACGTTTCTGTCTCTCTCCCTCTCCTTTCCTTTCTCTGAAATCAATAAAGATATATTCTTAAAATAAAAATAAATAAAAAATAAAGCTGGAATAAAGGTAAAAATATAACACAGTGATCAAAGTTCTAGAAATAAATAGAAAATATCTAGGTGACAGGAAAAAAGTTCTAGGGAAATACAGCACAGCAAAGTGGCCGTATCAAGAAGAAAATCATAAAATCAAAGAAAGGGTAGTTAAATTTCTTCAACCACAAAGATATCAAACCTACTAACCTTATTTTTTAATAGTTCATTTCAACTGCATAAAAACTATTCCAATACATGGAACAGAAAAAAGATAATTCCTAATTTTCTGAGTTTAGCAATGACTGTGGGCCCCCAAGTCAGAAAAGCACAAGAGAGTAAAAAATGTATATTAATCATATTTACAAACATAGAAGCAAAAATTCTAAATAGAGTACCAGCAAATCATAATCATCACTTTATTATAACAACCTCATGACCAAGGGTTTAATCTCAAAATTGCAAGGATATCACAACTTAAGAAAATGTACCAACAAAGCTAATTCACTAAAACAATATATCTAAATGAAAAAATATATAATCAATTGACTGAATAAATGTCAGTATAACACTGGATGATAGCCAGCAATCATTCATGATAAAAAAAATCTTGGCGAACAACTTTCATAAATATAATACCAGATACCTATAGCAAATACATGTACGGTATAAGATGCAAAGTCTAAAATAATTTATATTAAGTTCAGAAATAAAAAAATCACCTTTTATCACCACTACTAATCAACATTGTCCTAAAGGTCCTAGCCACTGCAAGCGGAGAGAAAAGAAAAAAGTGGAGAATGCACGTAAACGTTGGAAAGTAGAAAATAAAATATGCTTTGCAGAGGACATGATCACTTATATAACCAATCTAAGATAATCGACCGACGAACGATTAGAACGAAAAAAAAAATTTAGCAATTCCTAAATACAAGATCAACA